ATGTAATTCACGTGTATCTGAAGAGCATGTAGGTATCGCTTAATCGAGGAGGTTTCGACGGAGGATCGTCATTAATCGGAGGCTTTACGAGGGAGAGCGCCGCAGCCTCTCAAGGCAAGCCATGTATTCGCCAGATAAAAGTCTATGTAATAAAATATCTTTCTCATGGGCGCACGAAGTTTGGAGGTGAAATTGCTTAATATTGTATAGTTGGGGGCGTTTTTAGAGATTCTTAGTAAATTGTTGGGTTATTTTTTAACCCCGTTTTTTGTTTAGTACGATACCAATTATCGAGATTATACGTTTAGAATAAAATCTATTTTAATCTAAGTTAATATTTATAAATAGGTAGGTATGCAGCAAAGTTATAAATTTTTATTTGCTTAATCAATTAAAATCATAAAGAAGTTAAAAAATATTAATTATATATTTCGTGTTAAAAATTGTTTTATTTAAATGTGTACTATTCGCGTATACTACTACAGTCTCCATTCAATAGGATATTGTTTGAATTTTATCTATAGAATGATTTATCCTTTTCCCACATAACCTAAGTCAACACTTATTCTAAAAACTAAATATTCATTATTCATAAAGTAGTATTCAAATAAAATATATATTTAAAAACTAAACTCTTGCACATGTCCGCTATGAATCGGGAGTTCTGTTTCTATACCGGGAACAGAATTTTAAAGATGGCTGCTATTTAATCCCCCCCCCCCCGCACTGCACCCCGCGACAGCGCAACCTAAAATATTATGCACCCGAAATCCATTGTCTGTTGCCATGACAACAGTCCGCTCGATACCGTGTCCTTGCAGACGCATAATGAACATGCATTTATCTCGCTTACTCTTTTAGGATTTGGATACAGATTCTGGTTTTTTGCTTCTCTTTTTCTACGATGGCCGATTGCCAGATGTACGGATAGCAGATACGTCGCGGACAGTAGAAGGGTGTCTTGTTAGAGTTGTTAGATAACTTATATCAAATTAGACTTACATATAAGTTATGGACCTACATTTAGCGCAAATCGAAAAATTTCGACTATAATTGATTTAATATTGCCTTTGCAAAGCCACAAATAATTATAAGGTTTATGAAGTTATTTCCAGTTTTTTATTTTTATTATTCTAATTATACATTTAAAAAAGTAGAAACTATCAATTATTATCAACAATTAAGGTGAGTATTTTCTTACAGAAATATATAATATATAATCTCTTAATTAATGAGATAGCTGGACTTACCGAGAATAAAAATACATAGACATATTTTATAATGATATTCAATCCTTTAAGTAGGTATATACCTACCTTGATCATAGGTAAACTTATTTATGTACCTCACATTTTAACACTTCACAAACTACCACTTAACTGACACGATTTAGATTATATTTCTCAGACAGCATCCTAGCAAATGGCGATACCATACCATACTACTACCATAATTTCTAACCAAAATTAGAAAGTTGCACATACAAAACCATTGGTCCAAACTCCCTTATTCACCTTTAAACTTTCTCTTTTTTGTTACAATTCTGCTCCTTCCTGGTTTCACCTCAATGCGGAAGGGTTTTACAACTTTCTCTCTTAAAACAATAATCTTTTGTCTGAGATCATAAAAAGAAATAAAAATTGTAACTGTATTGTTGATTTTAGTAAACATTTCATAACTCTTGTCTAGTGGACTTTTAAGTAGGTTTATAGATTTAAATTTTATAGTATGATTTTAAATATTCAATTAATTAATATTATTCCTCTGCGAGGCTCAACACTTAGCAGTGGATTGAAAAAAGAACGAAAATGTCGTAAATCTCTAAATAATAATAAAAAATACTTTAAAATTTACTATACATGTTTTATTAAATTTTTATTCAAAATATTTTTATAATTACAATTATTTTTTCAAATTCAGTATTAGGATTGTGATGGTGCAAGGAAAGTGCAACGTAGTTCTTAATACAGCGCATAGATGGCGTTAAATTTAAAATGTTACATGTTTATATGAAATGTCTATGTGAAAGTATATATAAAGAGAAAATACATTTATATGTAATTTCGTACTTAATTTAATTTATTTTGATATGTCTATTATAGAAAGCAAGAATCAAAATAGAATAATAAAAGGACTTCACAATATTATCATCCACATATATACCTACTCCTTGCCTTCTCTTGTATTCTCTTTAATCTATCTCTTTGATTTATTTTATTATATATTATTAATGTATGTTGAAAAAAATTAGGAGCTGTATTGGTATAGTCGTTAGTTGGATCTCCTTACAATCTTATAAGTATCTACCTACATGCTCTCTTGTGAAGTGCCTACCTACTTAAAGTATTGAGGCTAACTCTCAAACACTAAAACTAAAAATTCGATTAATCTTTTATTTTATCTTTATGTGATATAACGGATTATCTCAAAAAGTATATCCTTTACCCAAAGCATTCCCTGGCGCATAATTCTATTCTTACTAAAACACAAATTTAAAGTAAAGTGTTTTTTTTCTTAGGGATAATAATTCTATGATTTTATTTTTATCACAAATAATTAATTAACTTTTTACTAAAATTCCACACGCAACAATAAAAACTACCTATTATGGTATTATTTATTTCTATAACCTCCTACTTTTTCCACTAATTTCACAGATTGGCAAAATGCATCTATAAACATTCGAATATTATCTCAAAAAGTATATCCTTTACCCAAAGCATTCCCTGGCGCATAATTCTATTCTTACTAAAACACAAATTTAAAGTAAAGTTTTTTTTCTTAGGGATAATAATTCTATATTTTATTTTATCACAAATAATTAATTAACTTTTTACTAAAATTCCACACGCAACAATAAAAACTACCTATTATGGTATTATTTATTTCTATAACCTCCTACTTTTTCCACTAATTTCACAGATTGGCAAAATGCATCTATAAACATTCGAATATTGATTTTTGGCTTAGGAACGCAAGACAGGTTAAAATAAACAAAAAAAATATATTTCCTTCACAATATATGAAACTCGAATAAAGTACACCACACCGGTAAGTACTTTTGGAGGTACCTACATTTTTATTCTAGAAAAATAATTACATATTTTGGAACAGTAAATACTTAAGTATAGGTATTAGGCATGGTAACTAAATTGCTTAACAGGAATGTTATGTTTCATTTAAACACGAGTTTTTCGTACATCATAGGCATAGAGAGGTACTATCATAGGGAACTATCTATATCTCAATATTGCAGGTAAAACGAATCTTTGTAGCATAATATTATTCAACGTTTCAATAGAATCGTGTGCAAGTATTAGAACAGTAAGTTAGTAAACAAATTATGGCGATAATTATATCAAGAACATAAAAATGTCATTGTTATCTCTTTATGCGACCTAAGTTTTAAACGATAAAGCATTATCACCGTTTATTGCATGTAAGGTGGCTCGGTTCATATAAAAACACAACTTTAAATGGAGATGTCTATGCGATGAATGTTCTTTACGAGCACAATATACCTACCTACTATTTATAATTTACAATGTAATTTATAACTTAAACTTTAATAAAACAGCGTTTTACAAGATAGAATTTATTCAGTTATAGCTAGTTACAGGTAAATGTAATTATTATAATGAGTAATAAAATTACATTGTAGTTTATGCTAAGCAATTAAGGTTAGGTAATAAAACTATTTTATTACTATAGATAGATCTTATTGTATTTGTAATAAGCGAGAGAATGTTAATGGTTGAATATGACAAGGTGATTTGTTACTCTTCTAACTTGTTTGTTTTTACAATGTAGCGTAATTTATAACTTTACAGATCCATAGACTCGATTAAATAATTAGAAAATTGACAATTAACGATACTTGACTGACTTTGGCCGTTTTGAATCTATTTTATGAGTTATTAAATATTACAATTGATTAGGAATTAATAATAATTCAGTCATGGCAATGTTCCTATAACAATAACCTTAGTATGCAATTTTTTAAAGTTTCAATAGACGGTACACACGATATATATACATTATATACTTACATTTACACTTATACCTTACTTAACAACATATTATATGTCTTTTTTTATAATGTTACCAGAAAAATAATGTTTTTTTATAATATTTTAAATAAAATTGAAGATTGGAATGTGAGAGAGAAGAAAGTGCAGAATCAGCAGCCCTTCAATGGTGACAAGTGTCATCTTCTGTTACGTATACTGAAGGTATACCGGAAAGAATGAGGCACTCAGGATACATTCAGTATACGTACAGAAGGCGACGCGTAATCTTCTCTTCTATCTTCTGTCAGCACCTTGAAGTTAATGGTAAGTTATAGTTAAGATTTACAATTTTTAGAGTGATGTTAAATATTTTTACTTTAAGTTAAACTTAGGAAAAAGTACATAATTTATCTCTATGGATTATCTTTAAAATTGTGTAGAGCTCACCGATTATATGATTATTCCTTGTGCTAGCTGTTCCAGACACCACCTATAAAAGAAAACACTAATAAACATTTTATCTCCCTGTACTTGTGTATCATTGTTAGTTATGCCTTTGTACAAACTTTGCTACATAGTATCTTGCTAAATGAGAAAACTTATGTGCAATCGTAAAGAAATAACGTTGCGAATTCTTATACAAATTGCGACGCTTTTGTGAAGCGCTTACCAAACAATAGCTTTTGTTTGCTAACTGCCAATGAGCTGGCTCGTCTCTCGCAAAATTACTGGATTGGTTTGCAAAAATAATTTTCGCAAACCAGAGAGCCGGTAGCGAAACGACAATTACTGTCCGAGCGGGGAAGGATGACAATCGCGAGGTGCCTATTGTCCTTCGCCATTGTTGCACATAAAGGACACATTACAATGGTTCTTTCGAGCACTCGTAAAAAACGAAGAATAGAATTCCTGTCAGACCCGACTCAGGAGGGAATGAATAGAGCGAAAAAAGAGCAAGGGTGCATTACATATAATTTACGAGCGTTCTAGAACACCGGGCTTGCAAGCGACCGCATGGAACGATACGAGTAGAGAGCGCAGTGCCGTATGTGAGGTTAGAAGCGTATCACGTGACTTACCGGTCAGCTGTTCGCGCGAAGTAAACATTGTAGGATGGTTAGGGCGGCGCGCGAGCGAGGACGTGTGGCCAGGCACGGCGTCTCTGGGCGTCTGTCGGTCTGGCTACGGGGCGCGCGTCCCGTTTCCACATCGATTGCCGCCCTCGCGGCGCGCGCCGCCCGCCGAATAATCCCGATGCAAAATTTCATTACATACGCCATGATCGTTGTTATTTGCACCCCGTAATGTTTTTTGATAGTTTGCTCGGGGCTTCTGTTGATTCTTTGCTAAATTCGCTGTGTATTTTCATAATCAGCTTATCGGATTAGTAAATGGATAAGCTGTGATGGTTAACGTCGAGAATGAATATTTGTACCATCAAATGCCGTTTATTTGGTAGAAAAGAAAAACATACTTCCTTTATATGTAATTATAATTTTATATAAAATACGAATATTTATGGATAGTTATTTTGTTGTAGGTTGTATAAGATATTCTTGAACAACACGTGTTAAGTCTTATAATAATAAGCTGAAAAGCGATTTTTTTATCAGTTTTAAACGGCAGGTAAACGTTAACGGATAGTATCAATAAAAGATTTAATCGCATGGCTATGTCATTAATTGCGATGTAATATCAATGTCACCTTCAAATTCGCAATGGAACACAAAAGGAAGTCAAATTTGTAATCAACCAGACTGGTTAAAACAATCGATTACGAGTACCTTATGACTGTCACTAAGTTGGTATTTTTCGAATCTACATTTACGAACAGTAAAGTAGAAGACTTTGTGTGTATACAAATACACAAGACACTACTTAAAGTTTAGGTAAATTAAATAAATCCTTTGTTACAAAGATTTTAGTAGCATATAGAAAGAATATATTTTTATAAACATTTCCTTATTGAATTCAGAATAAATTAAAGTGAAATAGACAAAACCTGGTTCCAATATGTTATCAAATATTATCAATAGGTATTCGTTTTGAAGAGAGAGTAACCAGCATGGATCACAATGGATGCCGGATCAGTCCCGCCTGTGTCAGCCTATATTTTTTTAATCTAGATGGATTTTTCATTTTGGTATATGTTTAAAATATGAAAAATAATAAACATTTGGTATTGATAAAGGTCTCTTGCATTTCAGTTAAACCAGAATTTTACTTATTATGTTAGTAACCTTTCTATAAAATCTTTGACATAATTCCAAAATCCATTATCTAAGGGTAGGAAGCAAATGACTGTGTTATTCAATGGTCGACCGCCGATTAAACGGACAGGGCAGTAAGTTAGGGGAGGAGCCAAAATCGTAAAAAAATAGGGTGGTACCCTTCGCCACGCAGCACCCGCTGGTCTGTAACAAAAAATTGAGATTTATTTGCAAATCTGTGGCGCAACGAAAAGTTCGTTTAAAGGCTCCTAGATAGCTGATGTTTGAGCTTTTTTGAGAAGATTGGAGAGATCAATATAGATGGCCTGATTGAGAAATAATTATTATACACGTGGTGTTCTGTTAATTTAGTATCTTTATCGAAGTAGAAAATTACTTGTGATATTTTTTCCTTCAATAGTGTAGCGTAATCTATAATACTACAACATTAATATATGTGCTATTAATATACTTAAATGATTTGAAACTATCTCCGAAGCGTAAGCTTCACTAAAAATACTGTATAAGGAATAATAATAGTTCGGGCCAGATAACACGTGGCAAAAATGTTAGCGATATTAGATTTTATGTAGACTCAAATGACGTACTAAATATTTATGAGAATTTTATCTCAGTGATATAATCTTTTATCGACACTTTTTGATATTTTTTTTATAAAAACAGACCTGTATATATACCTGTTGAAAATATATAACAAATATGACTTAATTACTGGCTAAGTAAATGCCATGTTTATCTATAATTAGATAAATTATCTCATTCAAATTAAAATTGTATTTACTACCTATAATAAGTGTAACCTGCCCATTGGTTCGAATGCATTACCTACTTAGTGTTTCAAATTTGGACGAAAAATAAATAGTTTCAGTATGGAATAACACGAAGTTTTACTAAGTAAAAAGGTAGGTAGGTAATTGCGTGCAAATAAAGGCAATAATTGAAACAGGCTCAGAAAGATAAAACAACGAGTTACTTGTTGGTTTTACAATTAACAAAAGCTAAGGTTTTTATAAGATAAGTGTCTTCATAGTTTTCACATACCTACAAAGAAAGTTGGTGATTTATGTATGAATAATCAAAATAATTACCTACCTTCTGTGCTTTTATTACTAAATAACAAGTCAAATAAGTAAATATTTTCCTGTTTCTCTAATTAAACACCTAACACGCATAAATCGACCGTCAAGTTATTTAATAACGCATTAGCCACCATTAATACCTGCAATGCGAAATGCTTCGAATTGAAAAGGGCGCCTTTGATCTTTGTTGTGTATGCGCGGGCGACGATAAACTCGTGCATTTTAAGTGCACACGGACGCAATAATTCTGCCAACGCTGACTTACGCTGAGAAACATCGATATAGGCAATTTATATCGTTTTTATCTGTTTAAGATTGAATTATGATTGTATTGAGTGTCTGTGGCGTGTCCTCTTTTTATAGTTCCTTCACCCCATTGTCTGACCGTGATGTAAATTGGATCTTTATATGGAGCTCATTGTCAATGTCGCATTACAAATAATACTTATTCTTTATTTCCTTCAAAGATGTTTGCTTCTTAGAAATATATTTGTATATAGTGTACACATAGAAAAAGCTGAAATCCCGATTCCCGATCAATTTTATTTATAGACAAGTGAGTACTTAGTAAATTAAGTCAGGAATTAAGTAACCTTATGAATATAAAAAGATTTAAAACCAAGAGTAGATGCACTTAAAGCAATGTAAGACAAAGCGTATGTCCATTAAGTCATGGAGGCAGTTGAAAAAAACATACTAAGGAATATAGATATTGTATTTAAATATTTTCTACTAATAATAATTTTAACAACTAATTTAATATATGTATTACGTAATTAGTTAAATGACATTGTAACTAGTTTGATATTTTTGTAATTAAAAGGCCAATAATTTTAAAAGCTTATATAAATCTTAGCCACGTACGTGTACATATTTAGGTATAAGAATCTCAAGAAATTTAAATCTTGAATTACATGCTTAGATATTAATGTAATAAAAATAAATGATTATGTTTTATGTCTTTTATAAAATATGTATGTATGGGAATTATGCAGTTGTTAAAGAATCTATACGTTGTGCCTACATACATACAACAATGAAAGCGGCAAAAATTAAAATTTTAGTTATATAACTTAGAATCCCTGTATATCTTACTACCAACTCATTATTATAAAATGTTAATTTACAAACTATCACTTTTCAAATAAATAAATAATATTAGGTAATTCTCATAAAAAACTTGTTGTTTAACAATTCTAATAAGCATTATTTTATAGTTATGCCTAGTTGGTAATTTTTTAACACATAAATTTAGTTTTTTTTATATTATACTTAATATGATTAGTAACTATTTACCACTAGTAAAAAACTATTAAGTAGGTAGGTAAGTAACTTACATTTCTTTACTACTTACTTGATTTATATTTATAAAATGTATTATTCGTTACGTAAAAAGTTACGTTAAAAAAAAACTGGTAAAAAGAAAATTTACAATTTCTTCGCTTTGAATTACAACGAAATTAAATTTATTTATATTTGCATTAAATTCATTTTATTGCCTTTTCAATAACGTAAAAAGTTTATTGGCACTTACCTGTAGCACTAAACTTCACGATTTAACTTTAATCTTTAACACTGATAAATTAATTGTATTTATTTGGATGATTTAAGAGTAATAAAATAATAATAAACTTTGACATTTAGGCCTAACAGTTGAGGCGGCCGTCGGCAGCCATTTTGTGGCGCTACCGTCGCTCGAATGCTCATTGGTTGAATGACGTCACAAGCGCCATGCCGGTCCACCATTGCTGTGAACAAACAAATTTATTTCTGATAATAATTATGCAAATATAAACTCTATTGCATTGTTATACAATACTATTATAAGCAAAGTTGATTTGGCAAGATTCGACACATCTATGCTGTTCGGTCCGCATTCTTGAGCGTTGAGCCCAACTTATCGTTTTGTATTTTTTAATTCACCCCACTCTGGCAATGGGGATTTTTTGAAATTTAAACTGATGCAGGGCTAAAGCTAATACTGGTGGTCTAATAATAATGTGGAATCACAGTACAACCTACTATGACACTTGTATGATATTTATTTATTTACTAAGAAAATTTAACAGGATTTTTAAAAATTGTATTTAAATATTACACGTTACAACGTTAAGTAGAATTTACCTGTAAGTATGTATACAATAAGGTTTGTCTACTATATGTGAGCTTAAATATATACATAGCGGTCTGATAATTTCTTACATAAAGGTACCAAAATGAGATCCCCGCATTTAATAAGATTGCTATTTGCCGGGAAGGTTTTACCTTAAAAGAAAACTCAGCTTTTTTCTCAAACTGAGATACCTACTTAGTTAAGAATATTACGTAAATATTAGGGTTGAAGCAGGTATATACAATTACGTTTGATACAGATGTACAAAAACTCTTCCTTTGCCTTACCTTTGTACCATATACCATAAATTGTATTACAAAGCAGAATTAGGAACACAGAAATCGTTCTATCTAACAACGGAAATTAAATTTCCTAGAGTCCTAAATGAAATCTGAGAGGTTCTATCGAGGAGGGAGACATTTAATTGCTTCAATAGTGAATAAAAACGATAGACAATTAACAGCTAGACCGTGGAGATATGTATTATATTTTATCTGTACTATGATAATTCAAAGTGATATCTATGGTTAATATTATCATATGTAACTGTTCACGTTAACAAAACGCATCCTGTTCTTAATAATGCCGAAAGCTATGCAAATTAAATAGACCACGCTACTACGATAAACTACATAGAGACGAAAACATATTTTTTCGTTCATTAATTTCATTCCCTTGCACGCCCACAGCAATCCCGCTTATTTATTACGAAATTACATGAACACTTAATGAAGTTCTACCACATTTTTATCCTAAATAATTAAAGACCACCGTAGCTTAATAACTGTATCTTTGTGATGCCGACGCTAAAGGGCTTTTTCTTTTA